TGCTACTACACATGTTATTCAATATCTTGAAAATTTTACCATCTCTTTTAATATATTTGAGTGTTAAAAATATTGTCACATTTCCATTGAGCCATAAAGATTGCATTTACAAATTTATAGAATGTAAGCAAAACTGGTTAATTTACTCAACTACTAACAGTGTTGGTTTTGTTTATGTTTACAGTCACACTGTCAGTGTGGCACGAGTTCAGAGTTGTTCCAACAGCACGGCTGGAGTTAGTGTGATTTATTAAGACTTTCTCCACTGCATTTATGACCAGTATGACGCTCCTTGGAGGGAACAAGCTGTGGTCCAGGCCAGGGCCTGTGACTGTGGGAAGGGAAGCATCAAGTTTTGGCCCACAAGGGAAGTGAACCTCTGACCTTGGCCTCATTAGCACCATGTTCCAGCCAAGTGTGCTAATTGGTCACACATGGCAAAAAATTTGGAGACATGGAAATGATGTTGGAGGACAGGATTCTCTGTTTTAATATATTTGTTGTGGTCAAATGGAAAGAATTTAGACTCTGGGGTCATATCTAGTTCGGTTCTAGTCTCAGTTCCATCTCTTGATAGCTGAGCTTGCTTGATTTGCTCTCTGAACAGTGAGGATAATGCCAATCTTGGAAGATTTTTAAAAATGTTTCTAGAAGCGAGATCATTTACATGGGGATGTCTGGTGTATGGAAAAGCAAATAGTAGTTGTTGAAGAAGTTGTCTTCTGTGGGTTGGTTTAGATCACTGAAAAGGTGAACTAATGAAGGAGAAACCACCGCACCCCCCGACTCACACACACACTTACATATTTCCCTTCCCTTTTCTACCCCATCACCTTTGTGACACAGATAACATGTTAGAGATGCTGTTCTATTGCAAAGTGACAAACCAATGAGATAAGATTAAATTCTAGACAGAGCAGAGGCCATTGTTCAAGTTCTTCATCTGTTTAACCCTGGCTTGAGCACTTTTGGACCCTGTGAATTGAACAGCCCGGCCCCTCTGATCAGTGAGAGCCTCAGAAGAATGCAGTGCAGGAGCTAAGGGGTCAGTCCTTCAGCCTGACCGCAGGGCCTCAGATCTTCACTTAGAAGCCAGCAGCTGCAGGCAGGCATTTTACCGCGTGCATTCTAGGTTTCCTCAGTTGTAAAGTGGAGATCATAACTGTTGCTGTCTCAGAAGACTGCCATGAGGTGATGGAGGTGGGACAGGTGAACAACTTCACCTGCTGCATGCAGAGTGCTCCAGAAATGGGCACTCCCAATATCACCAGGAAAGCAACAGGCTTTGCCTATCCCTATCCAATGGGAGGCCCATGTATCCCATCCACAGACTGCACAACTGATGATCAGGCCCGGCTTTTTAACTTCTCCAAGTTGCCTTTCCTTAGCATTTTGCTAGAACTTTCCAAATATGATTCATGTTGAGCCCTAAATAAACTTATTTACTTAGAATACAAAACAACATGACCGTATGGTTATGTACAGGGATACACACACAAGGCATTGATCTCATCTGCTGTGGCAGTAAGTCCACTGTGTTAATTGTTTAAAGTTAACAGTAGTGTCTGCCCATCGTTAGTTCTGGTCCTTGTCTAAGAGCTCTTAACCTCTCTTTCTTATTTACTGGGTTTCCCCTCTAATCCCAGATCCATTTAATATGCCCTTCAGAGGTCTTGTCCTGAATCAATGGTGGGGACCTCTTGTGGAATCCGCAGAACCATTTCCCTCACTTCTCTGGTTTTTACACGCAGCCTCTGTTGGCTCCTTCCAGGTGTGGTTCATGTTGTGTGTTCTGTAGGCTAAGTCATATTTTTCCCCTCCTGAACATTTCCAATTTATTCCTTCCACTGCCAGAATTTCTTTTTCCCTTGGTATCCTTCACAATCTGTATGCTTCACATCAATCAACCCTTTCCCTATATACATATATTGATCCTTGAAATTCTCACCCTCAGTCACATATGGCTTCCTCTTCCCCACTCTGAGCTTTATTCCTCCATCTTGAATACAGATTTCTTGACTGCACCAAGTTTTTATCAGCAATGGTAACATTTTGTGTATGATTCTGTGTTCCTCGGCCATTAAACAAAAACCCTCAGTAGTCCACAGATTCTCAATCAGATAATTTTGCCCCAAAAGGGACACTTGCAAATATCTGAAGATAGTTTCGGTTAGCTGCCCCTCTCATCACAGAATTACTTGGTCTTTAGTGTCAATACTGCTGACTTTCAGAAACTGTGGTAGGAATTATAAAATATATTTACCTGAAAAAACTGAAACAAAACAAAAAGTAAAAGGTAGAGCTGGAAATGTAGTTCAGTGTTAGAGCATTGCCTATCAATCAAGCACGAGGCCCCATGTTCAATCACCAGCATCATAAAAACCGAAAGACAAAGACAGTTAATTAAGAAAAAAAATAGTAATCAACACCTCTGGAAATGTAGTTCAGTGTTAGAGCATTGCCTATCAATCAAGCACGAGGCCCCATGTTCAATCTCCAGCATCATAAAAACCGAAAGACAAAGACAGTTATTAAGAAAAAAAATAGTAATCAACACAGATTAATCATTTGTTAGATGACAGTAACTACACCAGGAGCTTTCCCTCCTTTGATCCTCATAATTACTCTATGAAGTAGGAAGAGTTATGATCCCTATGGCAAATAATAAAATGGAGCCCCCATAGGTAAGTAATGTAACCAAGGTCACATGGCTAATAAGCACCACACAGACTCAATTGCAGGCAGAGCATGGAAGGACTGCTTGGTTTTGAACCATTATGATGAGGCTTAATGAGGCTAAGAACAGATGTGCCAGATACAGCGGAAGGAGGATGCTTGAACTGAGAGAGGCTTCAGGGAGCCCGTGAGCTCCTGGAAACATTCGCAGGACTTCATGATTGTGCGTCTTTCTGGGTAGGGTGATGTGGCACAAATGGTCAAAATCTTTTAAAGGGGTTTACATTCAGCAATACATGGAGAATCTATGAACACCTTGGTCTTGACTCTCAAGGAAAGGAGAGGTTTAGGGCCCCGGAGAAGCCTGCCTCTCTGGAAAGATGTGATTCTTCACTAATGGACCCAAAAACCCTGACTCAGTCTCTGAGCATTGATTGAACTTGATAAATCACAAGGCTGCCTTAAGCTTCCAAGGACTGTTAAACAAAGGGCACTAAGCAAATTAATAATATTTTAGAGCACCGAGAGACCTAAGGTCACTAAGTTACATATGACTAGTAAACTTAATGACTTCAGGTACTAATTGGCTTCACAGAATGGACAGAATCATGTCACAAAGGCAATATTTGCCTGCGCATTCCTGATATTGTCCTCTGGATGTCACTGTCCCTGAATTCACGGGTCACCTAGTCCCCTAAACATTGACATGTGTATTTATCTGTGTTAATGTCTTCAATCCGTTGCCTCCAGTTTTGCTGGTTTAGGAATCACATTGGTGCTTCTGTATACTTTCTAAGTGATTATTTCTAATATGTAGGGCATTTTAAATGCCCATCTTCTGTGTGTCAACTTTGGTAACTACCCCCCTTAAATGTAATCACTTGTTAACTCTACTCTCACTGGTGAGTTTTTAGCAGCAGATTTTGATGTACTTGGCTTCTTTCAAAGCCTATGTTTTTCATTTGCTCTCTTAATGTACAAGCTGGGAACTTCCAAAGAGTGTTGTGAAATAATTTGTTTAATTGCTAGTTTTGACAGCAATTTTTCTACATTTTCACAATGGCTGCAGACTATTTATAACCTCAACAAATTCGTATGTTGTAGTCCTAAATACCATACGATAATATTAGGAGGTGGGGGACTTGGTAGGTGATTCAGTTGCGAGGGGAGCAGTCTCATGAGTAAGATTAGTGTTCTCAGACAGATCCAGGGAATCCCTTTAACTCTCCCACCATGTGAGGAGAAGTGAGAACATGGCCATCCATGAACCCAGAGGTTGGTCCTCACCAGACACCATACCTGTTGATGTTTTGATCTTGGACTTTCCCCTCCAGAACTGTAAGTGATACATGTGTGCCCTTTATAAGTTACCTGGTCTATAGTAGTTTGTTATAACAGTCTGGGCAGACTAAGTTATCCATTAAGAAAAATGTTTGCCATACATGTTTATCCTATGAAGGATTTCTTTTCTACCGCTGCATTGGAATTTCATATTTCTTTAGATTTCCTATTTGTATTATAAAAATCATTTAAAATGATTGAGTTCCATCCATTTTATATTAAGGAAATCAGATAGCTTTAAAAATGTTGAGTGTGGGTTGACTTTGCATTTCTCTGCTTTGATCCAAGATGTTCTAGTTTCTCAGCGAATGGTCATATTTAAAAGACTTTGTGTGGGGCCTTCAGTGTCCCGGCCATGTGCTTCCTGCAGCTACATTCAGCATACACTTGCAAATACCATGGCTTCAATGTAATAACTACTCAAAATATTACCAACATGACCCACTTAGACATAAGGTAGGAGAAAAAAATATTTAGCATTTTCCATAAATATATGTGTCTCCAGATGTATGGATTCACAGGGAGTCAGAACAAAATAGCATTACAGAATGTTCTATGAGGTCTCTAGGGCCATAAATCAGCCAACTCCACCAGTCCCGTGTCTTCCTCCCTAGCCTGTCTTTAGTCTGTGTGTCTTCTGTGGACCAAAAAAATAGAACAAGGAATCATTACTTACAATAAGCTTTTCCCTCCCAATATTGAGGTATACCACTGCTTTGCAGGAGTCCAGTATGTACAAACTTTGGTATTTTCAATAAATAGAACTCAACAGTACAGTTCAGTTTTCAGTCACCAGAACACATTAACTGTGAGTGCAAATTTCCGTGCTGGATCTTCAGCCTACAAGTCCCAGGGTAAGTAACACGTGTATGAGGCACAGCTCACGCTCCTGCCTCAAAGACCCTCAGCGACTGGTCACTGCGTGTGGACTTCAGTCCTGCACAGACAGCAAAGCACACGGCTGTGTTCCTCTCCTCTCCCAGAGCTTCATCCACATGATATTTTATAACGGAGTGATCCCAAAAGAGAATCAGTGACAAAGACAAAAGAGGATCAGAGAGACCAAGCGGAAGTGAGAGCTCATTGACCTTAAGTAGAGCAATGGAAGAAACAGCGGAAGGAAGGAGTTTCAGGGAGGCAGAGACGACGCTGCTGGGGACACTGTGAGTGTGGGCGGGCCAGGGGCCGGTGCCCTGTGTGTATCCACAGAAAGGGGCACCGTGGGGACAGCCAGGACGAAGTCCCACAGCAAATACCCACCTGCGAGGAGAACCTGCAGAGACACCTCACGAAGCAGAGAGCACTGAAGGCACATTGCAGGAGGCAGATGCGAGCCTGGAAGTGAGTGTGACCTTCACAGCGTGGGAAAGAGGCCCATTTTGTCATTTATGCAGCCAGAGAAGCCAAGTGCTCGCTGTTCAAAGTGCTCATGATGGGTTTTTCAAGAAGAAATAAACACTTTAGTTCTCAAAGTCTCATGTTTTAAATTATAGTGTATACAGTAAATATTAATTGCCTGTTTTTCTATTTCTATAGGCATTTATAGGCAACAAGACGGTTTTTAATGTTTTGAAAAATATTTTCAAATTAAATTTATCTTAGCTGATACAAAAAATGTAAAAATTTTATCTATCAGTAGGTTAGTGGGTGATGTTTCAGTACCCGTATACATTGTGGAGTGTTTGAATCAGGGTAAAATATCTATGTCATCACTTACTATTTTTTATGGTGAAAACTTTCAGAATCCCTTTTGTTCCCCCAGTACTGGAAATCGAACTCAGGACCTTGCAGTTGGGCATGGATCCACTGAACTAAATCCCCAGCCCTCAAAATCCTTTCTTCACTTTGAAAATCCTTTTGTTCCCCCAGTACTGGAAATCGAACTCAGGACCTTGCAGTTGGGCATGGATCCACTGAACTAAATCCCCAGCCCTCAAAATCCTTTCTTCTGACTTTGAAAACTGTGCAGTAGATTATTATTATCTGTAGTCAGCCAGCGTATCAGAGCTTTTTTCTCCTGTCTAACTACCCCTTAGCACCTGCTGGTCATGTTTCTCTTTCCTTCCCTTCTTGACAATCTTAAAGCCTCTGAAAAGTCGGGGTTCGTACTGCTGGTGAAGAATGCGGTTTTGCGTGTTTGCAGAGTACAGAGTCATTGTGTGGCCCACCTCGCTTTCTAGTGCGAGGACGGCCTGGATGATTTGCTGGTTGACAAAGATTTAGGAATCGGCACTAAAGAAAAAAATTTACGCATAACCTCACTCTTCAAAGGCATTTGTTGATATCATAAATATATTTCCTCCAGAGTCATAGCTTGGTATAAAGTTATAATTATTTGTTTTATATACTTGGGTTAGGCTGCCTACAGAGTTATACTCCCTGATATTCCAATAACCTTTATCTTTTGGAGCAGTTTTAAGGTTAGAGTAAAATTGAGTGGAAAGTACAGGGTCCTGTGTGCTTCCTGACTTCATATCTTTCCCCATTTTCAGTGCCCTGTGTGGGAGAGGTACGGTTTTACAGGATGAACCTACAGCAACACAATGTTACTCCAAGTCCACAGTTTACAGTGCATGAGCTTGTCAATCTGCAATATTCAAACAGAGCCCTCCTATGTCAAAAGAAATGTCTCTGAAGTTAGAATTGCAGTGGGAAATAGATCTAGGAGTATAGCCCTGAGGGGCTGGGGATTTAGCTCAGTGGTTCTGCTGCCTGCTTTGCTAAATGCAGGGACCTGTGTTCGATTCCCGGTACCCCCCCAAAAACAAACAAACAAAAGAGCAGGAGTATAGCCCTGTGTGTTCCGCTCCCCTAGGTTCTTTCCTGGAATGTGGCATCTGAGGCCAGGCAAGTCATCAAAACAGAACAAATGACCTGCATGATTGACCTTGGCCATGATCTTCTGACGCACTCATCACCTATGGTTCCATCTGGATTTCTTATTTCCAACATGTGCTACATTTGAAGGGGTAAATGGAAGCTCCCGTCCCTGGGTCCTGGTAAGAAGAGATGGAAAGAAGGAAGTTCAGTTCTAAATAAATACATTAGGGAGCAATCTGACAAGCGTACGTGAACCAAGGCATCAGTGGATCTTACTGAGCACTTCTGTCCTATGGAACGCAGTTCATTGTTCATTATGCACAAAGTGCAAAGGGATGGTTAGTAGTTAGGCTGCAGTGACATCACGTGACCCTGGTGTCAGGGATGCCCAGCTCCAGTGGCCTGAGGTTCCCCTCTCCTTTGCAGATTACATAGCATTTCTCGAGTTCTCATTCCATGCCAGGGCTAATGGACACCTGAAAATTTCCCTGCTTCTTAGACAGATGATTTTGGTTCTTTGTAGCATCAACCCCTGATGCTGCCTTTCACAGCTGTTGCGAAGGTTTCCTAAGCAAAGAACATCCATACTGATATACTGATATGGGGGTTCAGACCCCTAGGATTGGGAAATGGCTGCCGTCAGGTCTCCTTTCTCACGACAGATGAAAGGATACACACGATTTTCAAGTGCTAAAGAACAGTAGGACATGGCTTGGGGCCAATGGTACAGGAATCAAAACATCAGACCCTTTGTGTGGGACCTTAGAGCCTCAGTGACAGACACGAATCTGCTCCATCTCAACTGCTACTCCAGTATTGTCAGGTCTGTTTTGTTACGTAGTTGTTTTCCCTATAGTTCTAACTTTCTGTTTCTGAAGATGTTGTCTCGTAACTCACAGAGCCATCGGAGTCAGGAAAAGGTGGCTGGTGGTATAATGGTGATGACCCAGCCACAGACTGTGTTCCGTGAGAAGTGGTCGAAGGTGTCCACTCAGCCACAGGCACACCGCATGCAAACATGGTGGTTGCATGCAGATTTCCTTTTGTGATGGTAACCCCACTGATAGTTCTGGAAGTGCTGTGGTCAATTTGCCCCTCCCACCTCAGGCCTGGGTGAGCCCCTGTTCACCTAAACTGATATACATATTGGTTGTGGGCAGTTCCTGATACAGCTGACTGCCATGACCTCCACCTGCTGGCCTCACCTTGTGTGATCGCTCCCTTGGAATGGGAGATGGACTTTTGACTTGTTACTAATGAGTCAAATAGGACAAAAGCAATAGGGTACCATTTCCATGATTATGTTACCGAAAACTGTGATTTACACTTTTTTTTTCTTTGATTTCCGTTCTCTGGGGAAGCCAGCTGCCTTGCTGTGAACTGCACTATGTAGGAGCCAATCAGCAAAGAGCTGGGAGTGATCCCTGCCCAACAGGAAGTGAGGCACTGAGGCTCTCAGCCCAACTTCCTACAAGGACCTGAATCCTGCCAGTGGCCAGTGAGCAAATGTGGAAGAAAATCCTGCCTCAGGTGAACCTAAGATGACTGGCATCCTAACCCATTGTATTGCAGCTTTTAAAAGACCTTGAGCTGGAGGAGGTAGAGAAACTGTAGTTGGATACTTTATTATCTGACTCTTAGTCACGATAAGTGTATATTCTCTAAGCTGCTAAGGTTGACAGTGGTAATTTGTTATGCAGCAGTAGATAACAGATACACCCTTGGTTACAGCAGGTGGTCTGGAGATTGCATGTGAGCAGCTGAGCCATCGGTAGGCTGACCTTTGACTTTTCTTCCATTGGAAGGAAGGAGGAAGGGGTGGGGGTGGGCACTCTATTCCATAGCACATGTGAAACCAAGAAGCTGCTCTGGGGTGTTCTTGTCTCGGGACTTGGTGGGGAGAGGCCATCTCAGAAGAAAGCTGACAGAGGTGATGTGAGAGTCGGGAGACACCATATCCTGGCACCATTGTTCTGCAGCCAGCCCTCTACACAGCGGATCCCGTGGACTCCTTTTTCTCCTGAAGCCAGTATACTTTCTATGTGTGTGTGGAAAGCCAAATACTTTAATCTGGCATAAACTGCAAGTGGCTGATGACCGGAAGAAGCTCAGCTGTCCAAGGAAAGCCTTGTCCCTCTAAGAAGAATCCTCCAAATTTTGTCTCAATGGACACAGTTTGGAGCATGTTTATAGCTCTACAGGAAGGAAGGAAAGGTGTTTGTAAGTTTGTGAGCGCAGGTTAAAAAAGTAATTGGAAACTAAGTAAGTACAAAAGCATCTTCAATCCAAGAAACATTTTGTAAGCTGAAATATTGTTCACTTTTATGATGGTGCATGTATATCTTCATATATAAAACTTCACTATCATTAGGAACTGTCATGCAAAATAACAAACACACCTTTCTCAATCTGGTTATAAATATGCAGAATGGAGTTTATTTCACCAAAGCATTACACGCTTCCAAGTGATAATATATCAATAAAAGCCCTCACTCCAAGATATCATTAAAACCACATTTGTTCATTTCTATTTATTATGGGGGAAAAACAAAATGAAAAAAGTAGATTTGAGTCATATTTCCTGTGAGTTCATCATTTGTTGGCATATAACACTTGTGAATTTTATTCAATTCATTTAAAAATGATTTCTAACATGCAGCCAGAAAGTTAAGGGCGTCAAGGAATTCAAAATGATCAGCATGCATCCAAGATTTCTCAGGAGGCAGATTTAGAATCACAGCTAAGGTATGTTTTCCTTAAGGAACTGTATCTTAGAAAAATTAGCTGTAATGAAACAGAATTTTCCCTAATAAATTCAGCTCATTTGTGCTTTGATAGTAGTGGACTCCAATGACCTTAAGAAAATTTTTTCCTCCCTTCTTAAGAATAGGTCAGGTACAGGCCAAGATCTATGGTGTGTCTTTCAGATGCTTTTGGATCACATTCTTTCTTCTTATTTTGTAACTGTATGGGATTACAAAGAAAGGGTTGAGCTAATGTGGTAGGATTTGACAGAACTTATTAGAGGTTGCCAATGCCTAGATATTCGGAGAAAGAGGAATAAAAAAAGTACAGTAATAGCTGAAGCAAAACAAGGTGAAACAGGCTTTTACCGTCTTCAAAATTCCTATTTGTCTTTGGGAATAGAAATACTCTAAAAACATTTTCTTTAAGCTGACTCTGTCCTTTTGAGGGCAGCCTTGTAAGAATCGGCTATCTCAGAAAGTAACCTGTCCACCTATAATTTTAGCTACACCAGGGAGAAGATTAACACTGGAGGAATAAGAGCAGGTTGTATCACGAGCTTGGACCCACCACAATTGTTAGTATTTCTGTGAGGGTAGCAGAAATGGTACTCAACTGTGATTTGACCTTCAAACCGGAAGTCCCTCTTCTAACAATTCCACAGGAAAACTTTGAAGCCTACTTGCTGAGACTTTAGTTCTTCAACTAACCTTACAACTATGCCATTGCAGTGCAAATGTGCAATGCCAGAGGTGACTAACTTTGTCCTGGATTTGCCAGGACTTGCTCCGTTTTAGTGCGGAAAGTCCTTCCTGGAAAACATCTCA